GAATTCTAATTTGTGAATGTGAAGACTTTTTTAAAGCACTAACTTAAAACATAAATATTTATTTTACAGCATGTAGGAAAATCTCTTGGACAGCATGTTCTGACATATTTAAGCCAACAGACTTAACCCAATCCTGAAAGATTCCCAAAATAATGACAATACCATATTTCTCAGTACATAAAGGGTTGCCTCTTCAACCTGGGTGGCCCCTCAATACATCTGAGCAAACAATTTCAAAAAGCCAATGTACATGTAAAATAGCATCTAATCAAGTAAAATAAATAAATAAATAAATAAAAATCCCTGATCTCTTATTGTGAAACAATTCAAAGTTGGCCAAAGTCCAAACACTGTACAAGAAAAAGAGCTTTTAACCTAAATTGCTTTTATGTAGAAGAATTCACTTAAACATTAAAGATAAATATTTCAGAGACACTGACCTTTGACCTGTACCTTCACCTAAAAGGGATTTACAAATTAAAGTGGTACTCCTCTTGCTATTGATACATCATTCAAAAAAACCCCCCAAAAACCCACATTTTCTAGTTTGCAAATAAATTTATTTGCCTGAAGTATAAACTTCATGCAGTAACTTGTGCATTTTACATTTCCCTTTTCTAAAACATCAGAAAATGATAATGCAAATGAGATGGTATTTAGTATTCTGTTTTATTTTTATCAATGCCTTCTAAAATTAACAGTCATGCTTCTCAATTTAGAATGCATTACTTCTCACAATAACTTTGTAAATCCAACTACAGTATTAAAAGTTTGATGCCAAAATTAACATGGTTTTTTTTAAAACAAAAAAACCTTGTCTCAGCCAAGACATAAATCACCACCTTCCATTCCCCTGAGCTCCCTCAAGTTTGATGGTGCTCTCTTTTCTTAATGGGGCATTGCTGCTTAATTTGCTGTAATTGATGCTACGTCCAGGGTTTCCAGATATAAGTAGAGTCTAACCTTTTTAGTTTCCTTAAGACTTTAAAAAGAAACCAGTGTAAAATTTAAAAAGAGTGTTTTTAACACTTGGTGTGATGCCTCTTCCACTGGGAAAGTTAACACTAGCAAGGAAAACTCCAATGCACCTGGTCTCCTCAGGGAGCCTAGAAATGGGTCCCCAAAAAGGACAGGCAGGAAATCTGCAAAAGCAATTCCACAAGGCGAATGTTAAAAGAAAGAAGAAAGGAAAAAAAAAGGGGGGAGGGGGTGAAACACCAACTTAAACACGTAATGGAAGCACTGCCTGAGCGGGACTGCCTGGCCCTCTCAGGGTTCCTCAGCCCAGCCTGCAGGCGTAATGAATAACACATGTTTTCTTTATCATCCTATTCTGCAACAATCTGAGTCCCAACTTCAACCCGGGACTTCAGCTGGAGGAGAAAACCCCTAGAAAACTTTAGATCCCTCCATAGAAAAAAACCGGAAAGGAAAGAAGGCTCCAGCCACTGCAAAGGACCACAGTTACAATGGACTAGGTAACCACACCCACCGCATTGCAGAAGCCATGAACTTGATGGGGGGGTTGGGGGGTGTGAAAGGGGGAGGCAGGAGGAGGGAGGGCGAGAAGTAGAGCCAGATGAGAGGGGAAATCCGAGAAAGCAAGCCCCCGCGGTGGGAGCCGGGAAACCCCCAGGAACCGGCTGAGCCCAGGACTCCAGCAGACAGACCCAAACCCGGCCGCCCCACCCCCGCCGGCCGCGCTCCCAGACACCCCTCCCTCCCGGCGGCTCGCAGGCCCGCGGGCGCCAGGTGAGCACCCCGCTCCCGGCCCCCGGGCCCCCCCGGCAGGCCAGCCTGGGCCTCCCCGCGCGGGGGGCCCCCCGCAGGTGCCCGGGTCCAGAGCTACGTCTTCAGGATGCTCTATCCTCACCCCTGTCGGCCGGGCTCCATCTGGGGGGGCCGCTGCCCCAGTTCGAGGAAGGAGACAAGTTACATAAAAGCGCCGGCTGCTCCGGAGGGGGATGCTTTGTGCGGGGCGCACCTCTCCCCAGAGCCGGCACCCGGGACCAGCCCGCAGCCCAGCCCGCCGCCCGCACCCACCGGGGCGGCGCCGCAGTGTCGCACCCCCGCCCCCCGGCCCCCGCGGGCCCTGCGCAGCCCGCCCGGCCCTCGCCCCCAACCCCCCAAGGGGGTAACTTAAAACATGGCGCCCCGATCGGGGGATTTGGGCAGATGGATGGAGACAGGACGCGGGCACCGAGTCGCCCTTTCCGGCGGAGAGGGTTCCCAGGGGGGAGCCCCCCGGGCGGGAGGCGGGCGCTCAGGCTCGGAGCGCCGGCCCAGCGAAGGCTGCAGCGCGGCGGAGGCGGCGGGCGGAGTGCGCGGCCCCGGGAGAGGGGTGGGCGCGCAGCGGGGCCCGGCGGGGGGCCCGGGGGCGGGCGGGGTCCGGGTCCGGCTCCGCAGGCTCCGGGCTCAGGCGATGATGCAGGCGAGCGGGCAGCGCGGGGGCCACGCGTCGGGGGCACAGCCGCGCGCGCGCCGCCCCCGGCCCCCGGTTCACCCCCCGCCCCCCGCCCACGGGAGACCCCGGCCACCCCGCGCCGGCGGGCGGAAAAGTTACCGTGGCTGCGCAGGGTCCGGGCGGCGGCGGCGGCGTGGGGACGGCGGGCGCGCGTCCTCCGGGCCGGGCGGTGCGCAGGGGCGCGGGCGGGCGCGGGGAGGGAGCCGCGGACGCGGGCTGCTCGCGGCTCCCCGCCCCCCGGTGCAGGGATCGGAGGCTCGGCCGGGCTGCGGCGGGGGCACACGCCCAGGAGCGCGCAGAGGAAACCAGCCTCCTCCTCCTCCCGGCTCCGATCCCGGCTGCGGGGGAGGAGGCGCGAGGCACCGCAATACTTCAGGACAGTTACTTGCTAGCAGCCTCCTCCGCCCTGGCGGGGGGACGACGCCTGGATACAGTTGCCAATAGCGTTAGGCTTTGGGTGTCCGCTTAGATGGTTCGCCAGGGCCCTCTCCCCGCGACTCAGCCCTCCCACACCCTGGCTCTGGGAGTGGGGGAGGGTGTGCCTGACCTCAGGTGAGTTATTTATTAACTTAGGGACTGCAGGGATATTCTTTTTTCTTTTTGAGTGTAATAATAATAATAATAATAATAATATCAATTCAAATTGTTAGCATCTTGCACACGTGGGCCCTCTAGAAATATTAATAGAGAAGACCTGAGTTAAAGGCGATGGAAGAGGGTTTTCTGCGGCCGCCTCCCTCCAGCTCCTCACTTCCCACCATACATGTTCAATACATGTTCACAGTTCTAAGCTTCCCAGACCAGCAGGAAGTCACTATGGATAAGCTTTACCCTGAAATGGAGAGGAGGGGCCTCATACTCTGATTTGCAGGCGAAAAATTATTCCTGGTTATCATCGCACATCTAAGTTCTAACCTAGTGACCCAGGCGTATTTATTACAATGTTGAAGGCCCTCTCCACGTATTCCTTCCTAATCACCCTTCCGAGAGCTCACCGATCATGTAGAAAGGGAAAATGGACTCACAAAAAGATTGCATTTATGGTTGAGCCAACAGTGCTATGCAGGTCATGACGCCGGTGGCAGAGATCAGCGGGTGTGTTCTGTCCCTGAGAGGTGGCCTGGGTTTCTAGGACTCAGAATGCAGCAATACAAAAGGAGAGGGGGCACCCCCCCCCCCCCCCCCCCCCCAGATTGGATGCGAGAGAAGGCTGGAAAATTTTGGTGTTACTCTGTTGCTATGGAGTTTATGGACCTGTTTTCTATAGATGTGCTCGCTTTGAGAAAAAAAAAAATTAGCAAGAAATGTGACGTATGTTATTGGAAAAATAATCTGTTGACACAGCAAAGACTAGAATGGATGGGCAAATACCCGGAGCTGATAGGAAGTGGCTAGGGCATTGTTCCAAGTAACCGGTAACCAGGGCCTGCAATGCCTTTTAAGTGACAGATAAAGGCAGTAGTTCAAATACTGGGGGATATATTTGGGGACCAGTGTATTAATTTCCTATCTGGGACACATGAGTGTTAGAGACACACATGCACATACTACATTTGTACTTTCATGGCTGCCTATGTTCATATAAGATCCGAAATGAAGGAGGGATTTATTTTCCTCTTTTGTGTGCACACTATGGCACACTCCTTTAAAAGTGGACTCTAACAAATTGTATTGTTTACAACAAACACAATTGGCATTGGCATTCGGGACACAGATGGTTTCATATTTTCATTCATTTTATTGCGGTATTTTTGCTATTTTTTTTTTAAATCGAGAGCATACTGTTTCTAATTCATGAACCAATCTTTCTCATGATGGAGAAAATTTTAGCAATAGCGTAGAAATGTCTTATTTGCTTGGGAGAAAATGTTAGAATCCTAAACATCATTTTTTTTTTTTTTTAAAGCTAGGCGTACCTAGCTAATTATCCTAGTATTCCATGAATTCAAAATTTGAAGTAAAATAAACATACTTCTTCCTAGTTTAGTAGTAAATCTGGGAATCAATGACTAAGAGACCCTTTGGGCTGGACCAGCACTTTCCACTGTTCTTAGTTTTTCCCAGCACAGAAATGGGAAAAAGAAATCTCAAACAAACTCCAGAGCAGCACATAGCTCTGTCAGTCCGTAACTTGCTTGCATTTCTGTAATAAGCACTCTTCCTTCCACCTGGTTAATAGCATGGTGGAGCCCACTTAGGCATCTCTGTCTCCCCACAGTGCCTCACTGGGTACATTGCAAGCCAAGCACTGAACATTTTCATGAATGGATAGTGAATATGAACTAAGTTTTCACTTGACCTTGAGCGTTCGGTTTCTAATGTATAAAATAAGTTACTATTTCCAAAACCCTTTATGTTTAAAAAAATACTAGGGTTCCATTCTGCACAGCAATAGAAATCATCATCGAAGCAAAAAGGCAACCAACCAAAAGGGAGAAGATACTTACAAACAATACCTCCATTGAGTTGCTTATATCCAAATATACAATATAAAGAACTTATACAACTCAACAACAAGATATAATCCAATTAAGAGTGGGCAGAGTATCTGCACAGACACTTTTCCCAAGAAGATGTACAAATGGCCAACAGAAATAGAAAAAGACTTCAACTTCACTAGCTACTAGGGAAATGCAAATCAAAACGGCAGCAAGATAGCACCTCACACCTGTTAAAATGACTATTATCAATAGGACAAAAATATGTGTTGGAGAGATTGTGGAGAAAAAGGAACCCTCAAACTCTGCTAGTGGGAATGTAAACTGGTACAGCCACCTTGAAAAACAGTATGGCAGTCCTCAAAAAGTTGAGACGAGAGCTACCATTGTGACCTAACAACCCCTCTTCTGGGTATCTACCTGAAATACTTGAAAACATTTATTAGTAAGGATGTATGTACCCCCTGTTCATTGCAGCATTATTCACTGTAGCCAAGACATGGAAACAACCTAAGTATCCTTTGATGGATGATTGGTAAAGAAGATGTGGTACATATATACAATGGAATATTACTCAGCCATCAGAATGGATGAAATTCGCCACTTGCAACAGCATGGGTGGGCCTTGAGAGTATCATACTAAGCAAAATAAGTCGGAAAAGGACAAGAACCATATGATTTCACTTGTGGGATATAAAACAGAAAACAACAAACAAACAAACACAGATTCATAGATAACAGTATGGTGGTTACCAGAAGGGAAAGGCAGTGAGGGGAAGGATGAAGAGGACAAAGGGGGACAGATATATGGTGAAGGAAAGAGACTAGACTTTGGGTGGTGAGCACTCAATGCAACATATAGATGACAGAGCATTGTACACTTGAAACTTATATAATGTCATTAACCAATATAACCCAAATAAATTTAATAAAAATACTAGGGTTCTACAAAACAAAAAGACGTTATCATATCTTGAAACCTGCTGAGTAAAAGCAATAATGAAAAACCTATTTACTCTAATCAGGAAAGAAAATTATGTGCTCTTCCATATGGAAAAGGAAAGGAAAGGAAAGTAGAAAGCAATGTAGTGATGCCATTACAGTTGAATTTGCTTCTTTTCATGAAAATCTAACTTCTCCCTTAATCCCTCTCACTTCAAAAGAATTCTTTAGCCCTAGTTGGTTTGGCTCAGTGGATAGAAAGCATCAGCCTGTGGATTGAAGAGTCCCAGGTTAGATTCTGATCACTGGGCCTGGGCCTGGTGCAGGAGGCAACCAATTGATGTGTCTCATATTAATATTTCTCTGTCCTTCTTCCTTCCACTCTCTCTAAAAAAAATCAATGAAAAAAAATATCCTGAGGTGAAGATTAACAACAACAAAAATTAACTTCTTATTCTTGTCAGTATATAACCCCTCATGATGCTTTTCCAATAAGTTACAGAAAAGTAGATCTTAAATCCAAAAAACATGGCATGAGAACTCGGTCAGATTTCTAGTTTAATATATCCACATGGCAAACCCTGAAATAACCCATGAAACAGGGGAAAACATTCCATAACTCCAGCCTGGTTGTCAATATGCTCGTTGTAGTCTCTTCCAACATGCTAAAGCTTACCTTACTTACAACACTCATCTTACTTATAAATTTCTTGAAATTGTTCTATCTAGTACATGTAAGATACATGACTGAAGACCAACAAGAATCCTAGCCATGGTACAGAGAAAGCACAGCTAACTTCAAGTTAGTTACCCATGTAACTTCATCCCAAGCTGTAGTGGCAGCATTTCCCATGAGCCTCAGTCCAACCACAAGCATCAGAATCACACATACTCATTGGTCATCACTGATACTCTGCTACCCGAAGAGCAAAGACAACTCCAAGGTGACAGCCAAGGCAAGGGCAGAATTTTCAGGTTGTATTAGAGCCATTGTGACAGTCTCATCAATAAGACTCCAAAAAAAAAAAAAAAAAAGGATAGAGAATCTGTCCATTGGACCTTTGCCCTCAAACACAAGGACTGATAGAATATTGAAGCTTGACCAAACCCTACAAACGCTAATAAGAGATGCAACACTCATTTTTTTTTACTCTGACAATCTCAGACCACCCTTACCTAGAGAACTGTGACATTTAAAAAGTATCTCCACATTCTTTAGTCCTTTAAGTTAACTCTTTAAACCTATGCTGCCTTGGTAAAATGCCACCACTTGCAGTAACTAGTTGAGACTTACTGTATGCTCAGTGTAATGTTGGAACCTGAATTGCATATCAAGTCCTTGAAATCAGGACACACAGTATTCAGCCACAGTATTACCAGGGACCATAAATAAGAGAAATACAGGGATGAATGCACACTTCAAAAGCAACAAGCTAATTCTTGTGGAAAATGTGGCTAAGAGTTTCTAGGTTCATAAGAAGAATATCAACTTTACAGCTCATTAAGGCTTCCAGATGTTCTCTTTATTCTGGGTCCCTACACATCATTCCAGACATTTGTATACATAGAGAGCACAGATGCAAAATGAAATTTAAAAAATACCAACAAGTACAAATGCAGCACAAATGTAAAAATATGTACCTATGGGAGGGCAAAATAATTCTTATTCATCAAAATTTCATTATTTGCCTCCTTTGTACTCTTTGTAAAAATAATAGTTATTATGGCAGGATCAATACATATTATGTAAGTTCCTATGTAGTGAAATATACCCTTATTAAATTATTTTGTTTTCTCCACTTCTAATAATAGTAAATTTTAGAAGTAAATTCCAGCACTTTTAAACAGAATAATTTCTAACAAAATTTTAAGGTTTACTCTACTCCTCAGACTTTACAAGGTTGAAATGCCAGTTAATTTTATTCTCCTCCCATTAAGTAAAAATAAAAATCCATTAAGGATATTTTATATTTGGACATTTTATAAATAATGCAAAATAGAAAGTAGGTAGTCTGTAATATTACTAAATTCAACTCCTAAGCTATTCACTATCTGAGACAACATGGATATTCCAGAGAGATGGTCAGTTTTGGGTTATGCCAACACATTTAACATTTTAATCATTTTCCCCTCAAAAGGCATAAAATAAATGCCAGCAAGCCTCTCAGTCTCCTGTAAAGTTATAAATCATCTTAGCCAGCTATTATATTTCATTCTAACAACAATCAACAAGAATTAACCAAGTGAGAAAAATGGGTAATAAGTAAGACATTCAGGTGTCTTGCTTATTAACTTGTTGACTCTAAGTTTATGTTCCTCTCTTTAGGCAAACACATTATAGATAACTTTATAAACTAAGTCATTTATAGCTATAACTACATCAAAAAATGTCATCTTTTTGCTTCTAAATTTTATTCCTGTTTTCCAGGATTCCCCCGCCCATTATCAGTTACCTAACAGTGATTTTCAACCTTTTCATTTCATGGCACACAGAAACTAATTTCTGAAATTCAGCCGGACACCAAAAATATATATTACATTTTTGCCAGGCTGCCAAGAAAAACACACAGGTATAATTTTCATTCATTCACACCAGAGAGCTACTGTTGTGTTAGCTGTTGTCGTTTTTTTAAATTTGACAATTTAAGAGAAAAGAGGTCAGTGCCCTGTCTGAGCCAGGCACTGCATGTTTTAAAAATCCTTGTGGCACATCAGTAGAAAATCGCTAGCCTAACTGCATGCATGCTTCAGAACTGTGGGTACAATCTGAAAATGTGATTCTACTCTCGCCCACAGCATTCCAAAACATTCTGGGAATCAATGAAAACATCATCTAGAATCTCCGAATCCCTGAAATAAATCTGGTGTTTAATAGGTCAAAGCCATTTTATTTTATTTTATTTATTTTTTAAAATATATTTTTATTGATTTTTTACAGAGAGGAAGGGAGAGAGATAGAGAGCTAGAAACATCAATGAGAGAAACACCGACCTCTTGCACACTCCCTACCAGGGATGTGCCCTCAACCAATGTATATACATGCCCCTGACCGGAATCGACGCTCTACCACTGAGCCAAACCGGTTTCGGCTAGGTCAAAGCCATTTTAAAGGAAGCCTCTGCTGTGGACTCTTTCCTGTTCAAGATGTTTATCAGGGACTTGTCAGAACATACAAGGTGGGCTTATTTGCAGATTATACAAATCTGAGGATGCCAGAATTTATCAATTCAGGCTGTTTGCGAAGAGTTTACCTTTTATATTTCCATGTCAACAATAATCTTGCAAAGTGATAAAAGTTCTCACATCATCTATAATAATACAAGTGTAATATGCTAATTAGACTGGATGTCCTTCTGGATGATCTTCCAGATGAAGGCGGGGCTGTGAGGAAAGCCCAGGCCCTGGGTGCCTGACCAGTGCAAGAGGGAAACTGGTGCTGGCAGCCTTGGGAAGGAAGACCTACTCTTGCAGGCCTCTAGTTTCTATTAGAGTCACTTGGGGAGTTTGTTAATAATATAGATTCTTGGGTTTAGCCCCAGAATAAGCAAATCAGAAGCTCCGGGGTAAGGTTCAAAGAGCAAGCACTTTTAACTAGCTCCATAGGCGATTCAAAATCACACTCAGTTTTGAGAACCATTGATCTAGGTGACCAGTGCACCACACTAATCACACAGGTGACAAAGATGGTATATTATTCAGATAGATGTTTTAATAGAAGTTGAAGCAGATAACAGTGTGGAGGGCAAGCCTCACTTGCCATAGAAGTGAGCTGAACTAAAGGGAGCCTATAGTACAATAGCCAGCACACATTTTCAAGGTTTATTGCTTGGGTCCTGTTGTAAGCATCAAATTGCAAGAGCAGTTCATTGACAATAAACATAGTAATAAATAACAATGAAAGATTGTTCTGTACCCAATTCCAACAATAATTGGATTAGATGCACATTCATTGAAGATTGCAATAACACTGCAATTCTGACCTTAATTTCCAAGTGCACAAAACAACTTTATGAAGTTGCCAAGTGATGTCTCATTAAAATGGGAAATGTAGAACTAATTGCTGGCAGTTTTGGTTGAGTTTGAGACTTGACTATTCCTAACCCAACAAGAAAATAGAGACTTTAAATTATTAACACTGTTTGATATAACATGCATATGCTAACAAGAATCCCCTGTGCTGATTAGTGAAAACTAGTAAGCCCAATTAAAGAAATTTCCCAGAGGCTACATCTTTCTACCCTTAAGCACAACATGAGGAATTTTATTTTAGAAAAAATATATC